AACAGGATCAAATGACCGTTTGGCCCTTGACCATACTTCATACAAGATTAATAAGACCCTATAAAAGAATGAAAATGTAATTCCCACACCCGATGTAACCATGGTGAAGTAATGACTTGCGATTTTTCAAGATTTTCACAATATGTCATGAAGTTAAAAAGTACATAGAACACAATATACATGTCATTGGCCTCCGGCCTTGTATCATTCATATCAATTACATTGAAAGGAGTGTACTTAAGTACACATTACATACATGGAATCAAATATACATATTTTGACATATAAGTCTACAAAATGACATTTCATGCTAACATTTGCATGAAATGGAAACTTGAAAGCTACATGACATCCAAGGAATGCTAGGTTTCATGAACCAAGTCTTCATACCTGAAATATGCCCTAGTATCGTAGGGGTGAGTAACATAAAGCTACTTGTAGGAGATGAGCATGCATCGACCTAGCATTTTACAAATTTATCACCTTAAGGTGAAACATGTTAAAGGGGCTCATGCCACCTAACGTCTATGTCCAAGTGAGACTCGGGGAGCATCCTAAGCTACCTTAGCGTCTAAGCAACAAGAATCATGATATACATAAGTGTATGAAACGAATCATGGTTGGGATAATCCAAAGAACACGACAAGAAGAATGCTTGAGCATAGATTAACATGAACTGCATTTTCAATACAATTGAACTAGGTCTAGAGTAATCCATACAACATGACAAAAACATATTTGAATACAAGTTAACAAGAATCACATTATCCATGCAATTCAACAACAAAAGAGCATGTTATACAATACAACAAGGTTTAAGTTCTCAAAGCCATTAACTTAGAATCTAAAGCACAAAATAACAGTAGTGGTTCATGCCACCTAACGTCTATGTTATAAAAGAATTAATAGGATCAATCCTAAGCTTTATTAGAACGTCAAAACATGATTTTCAATATCGATGCAATTTAACCAACATTGGAACTTCCAATACAACGCATAAAGCACAATTTCGCAAAGTTAACATCTTGTAACTTAAAATGGAACGAAAAATAAGAAACAACAAGTTACAATATCATCTAGTTATCAGCTTGAAAATGAAATGCGAAATCAAACAAAGTAGATACTCGGACGTCACGCCAGATCAGACCGACAACATAGTTACTTTAGGGTTACTAGCCCATGGGTAACCTCCCTATATGCACACTAGACTATATATAGAGGGACTATCCCCCGTACTAGAACCACGTCCTAGCCATAGTCAAACAACGACATCCCCAAGTTTCCAAAATCAACAAGTTGTGCAACAACGCATATATCAACAGAAAAATGCAAGATAATCAACTATCTACCAAGCACAACCAAATTTGGAAACCTATATAATCCATGCTCTAAGTCCATAACTAATATGATGTGATGAATGTCGAATCTTCAGTGTGCGATTCGTTACATGCTATGCATGAATGATGTTAAATACGAAGTGTGCAAATCATTACATAAGGCAACAATATATTCAATAAGGAAAACACATTCTCATGAATACAAACATAGCAACTATGTTATCCAATGTTCAAAACATAACCAAATGAATATACAACAAGTCTAATTCATGATTTGAATATAGAAACCACTTCTAAAACACAATTAGATCATGGAGCAAATTGATAGAATTTAAATAGATAAACACAATTAAGTACTCTAGATTTTTGATTCAATTTCAATTAACCTCAATTTAATACATGTTAAAGGGCATGGCAAGGTCATCACCTATATTCATTCTAAAACTTAATTAGGTTGTTAGAACAACAAAGTGGAATTTTAATTAAATCATGCTAATTTAAATCCCAAGGTTCTAAAACAATTTCTAATAGTCCCAAATTAATATATACTAGTAAACAAGTTATGGCCAATACAAATATCAAGTTAAAACCTTAATTAAGCTAATGGGACCACGAAATAGATTTTAATTAATTCTTTTAATTAAAATCTCTAGATTTTTCAAACTTAACCAAATGCTCTCAATTTAACATATCTTAGAGAACATGCCAAGGACTAATGTAATATCACATTTCAAGCTTATTTCATGCAAGTTACACCTATGTAAATTAAACTTTCACTAAAGTTAAATATAAAATAAAGGTTGCAATTCTCATGCAATTTATCCCAATTTAATACATGTGAACAACCACACAAAAACTTAATTTTCTAGCATGCCACAATTCAATTCCAAGTTGTATATTACCATGATGATTAAATTTTAAACAAGGAAATTAATTAAATGAAAGGTTTCAAAACCTCACCGAATATTCTAAATCAAATATATGTGAAGCTATATGGCATGTACATCAAGAATATCAAGTCGGAATTCGAATGGAGTGAATAGTGCACTCGGGGCAAATTAATTAATAATTACTAATTTTCAAAACACCTCCAATTACTTTCAAATTCAACTATGTTGAAGAGCATGCTAAGGCCTAATATAATATGCTAACACATATTAATTTCAAGCTAGTTAAGGCCATGTTAATTAATCTTTCACCTAAGATAAATATTAAATAAAATCTTTAATACTTATTCAAATGTTCCAATTTTAATACACGACAATGAGCATATCAAGGGGAAATATAAAATCATGCTATATGTTTAAACCAAGTCATGAGCAACCGGGAAAATTAGATCCCGTACAAGAAAAATAAATAATAAAATCTCTAGATTTTATATTTAATCATGCAAACAAGTAGTATAAGCATCACAAGCATGCTATATAACAAGAATTTAAACCTAGAACATCTTCTACCTCAATTTGAGATGAAAATCCCAAAGGCCCACCAAAATAAAAGTGCTCCGAATTCGACAATACCAAGAGGTTTTGTCGGGGACAACACCGTGAACAAGAATCCGCAAGAAGCCCCATGATAATAATAACTTGACCTCAAAACCAAACTCAAGAAATGGTCAAAACTGAATTCTAATAAGGGGGAAAGGTAGAGCACGGCGAGGGGAACAACAAATGTTAAGGCCGAAGACTTTCCATCAAGGAAAAGTGAACCAAAAGAGGAGAGAGAAGATGGCAGCACCCCTTAGGCTGCCATGGGAGCTCCAGGTCGTGCATGAAGAGGGGAGAAGATGAAAAATGAAATATCTCACCCCCTTTTTATAGAAATCTCAAAAAGTGCCCCGAACGGGCCTCGCCGGGTCCGAAAAAGTAAAATTTGAGCAGACGCGCTCAAAGGGAAAAACTTTGTGAACAAAAAAGATTTAAAATGATAAAATATGAACAACGAAATAAACGGCATCAAAAACCAAGTCCCAAGCAGAAAGTTATGCCCAAAACAAGTTAGGCGAAAATCGGGGCCAGAAAACCTGAAACTGGAAAACATCGACCAGGAGGAAATTCCAAGAGTACACAACTCGACAAAATGTGAAAATGAATCCCGTACGAGGATCCAGGCTCAAAACAAGACATTTTGCAATAACTTCCATTAATTGCACAATGGCCCCTCAAAAAAGTGAAAACTACACTTATGGCCCAGAATGAAAATATCTTCCAAAAATATTTTCTTAAAAACCCCTGAAATAAAATATCTTCAAAAGATATTTACGAAAAACACCCCAAGAAAAGAAAATAATTTCAAAGAACTTTGCATCCATGGACACCGGGAGCAACCAAAGTACTTTCTTGCAAAAGTAAAGATGCGTATTTCGTGGAAACCACTCAAGATGAAGGCACGTGAAGTCAAAAACCAACTCCGAGCATGAGAAGTGAGGTTGTGCCAAAAACTGACAAACAGAGATAAGACAGAATAGGGAAAAGGACGAAATAGTGTATAGTGTCGAAAAACGAAAAATGTGAAAATGACTCGGTCCTCAAAGGAAGTTGTCAATCCATGGAAAAGAGTCTCAGGAACCAATTCTGAGCACTCGAGATGACACTAAGCGGCATGAAACAGAGCTCAGAAAAGAAAATTAAACGAAAAAAATTCATTCGTAAAATTTCGGGAAAAAGGAAAGGAAGGCAAATGACCGGGTCATTACAGAAACTCCTTTTTAGTTGACCTAAATAGCTTTCATACTCCAGCTTCTTCAGTTCAGTTTCAGCACTGCTGTTCCGACTTTGAATGGCCATATCTCCTTCATTTATTATCCAAATGGGGTGATTCTTGAGCCTAAACTCAAGGATTTTGAGTCAGCTTTCCAATGATATCAATAACATCCTCAGATTCAAAACATAGTGAGAGATATTCATGTTTTAGTGAGGTAGGGTCAGTTTTCATTTAAACCGGGAAAGGGCATTTTGTGGGATTCTTGGCCAATGTTCTTAGAACCTCTTAGAATGTTGTAAAATGATTAGTTTAGGTTGTATTCACCTTGTTTGACTTGTTTAGAGAAAAGTTTTTCTCTTTAATTCTGAATTGACCGTTTTGCCCATTTGATAACGAATTTTGTCCTTTTTGACCTTTGTTTCCGCTTTTGCTCTCTTTAAGTCCCGTGATCTCATGAAAGGTTACATTAGTGTCTTCGGAGTGATTCCTATCTCTTAAGACCTTGGTTTATCATTTGCTTCCGCATTTCGGATCCGTTATCGGATTAACTTTTGGTTCATTATTGACACACCAGGTTGAAGAACTTATGCCCTCACCAAGTCTTAATGACTAGCATTGTTGTTAACCTTATCCCTTATGTATGTAGCACCTTGGTCTTGACTCGTGGAGTGGATGAGTAGGCTGAGGAGCAGGTTGCAGACACCGGGCTAGCTCGGGGTCCAAGGAGGCCCAGGGCTCGACCTCGTGGTATGAATCCTAATCCACCACGAGCGTCGACTTATGAGGAGCAGATTATACAGGGAGTGGATTTGGGGATGTCAGAGCCCATTCAACAGATGTTTCGTCAGCATATGGCAAGGATGCCGATTCCGGTACCAGTACCAGCACCGGCACCAGTTGCTAATGCGGCATTGGAGTAGTACTTCATGAAGTTACAGCGAGTTAAGATCGACCAGGAGTATGGATCTGCTTACTTTAGAGGCATGGCTTGATCTCATGGTACGCAAGCTCAATAGCATGGCAATACCTACAGACCGATTGAGGATCTCCTTGATTGCCTTTATGTTCATGAGGGATGCCGATATCTGGTGGAGGTCCATAACCAATATCCACGCTGTGGAGGTGATGACATGGGAGGAGTTCAGGACATTGTTCTTCGACTTCTTCTTTCTGAGGACTATGAGGCAGGACATGAGAGTGCAGTTCATAAGTCTCTATCAGGGCAGGACAAGTGTCATTGAGTATGAGACACGTTTCACCTCTCTTTCCCGCTATGCACCGGAGATGGTAGCTGCCGATGAGCTCAGGGCGAGGAAGTTTCAGGATGGGTTACATCTTGATATTAGGCCATGGATTTTAGTATTAGAATTGAGGACCTACGGGGAGGTAGTGCAGAAAGCTATGTTGGTTGAGACAGGGGACCGAGATCAGCTCAGGATCAAGGGTTCATATAAGCAGTCTCGTGGAGAGATTTCATCAGTATCTGTTGGGAGTCAATGGAAGAAGGCTAAGGCCGGGGATAGTTCACGTACTCAGGGATAGTCACAGTAGGCTCGGTCTGTACCTGTAGTTCCAGTATCTTCGGGGTCAGCCTGGGGATTGATTTGTCACCACTGTCAGCAGCTGGGGCATATCAAGCCTTGCTGCCCACAGCTTCAGCCACAGGCTAGTAAGCCTACAGCTTCGACAAAGGGGGTTCGCGGAGCTTGTCACTATTACAAGTAACCAGGTCACTTCAGGAGAGAGTGTCTGAAATTATAAGGCGGGACACAGAGTGGCATAGGTTCACAGGCCACACCGGCACAGTCAGCTGTTGTGCAGTCAGGTTTCAGGGTGCCTCAGGCACCGTAGTCAGCGGCGCCGTTAGTTGGTTTATATCCTATCAGAGGCTCTACGCCTACTACTTTCGGACATCAGTCAGGCCACCAGGGCAGTTCACAGCAGTCTGGGGCTTAGGGACGAGCTTACGCACTGCCACAGGCCGATACCTCTACTGTGACTTCTACAGTTCGAGGTATCTTCCCAGTTTTCAGTTCTTAGGCTAGAGTTCTTGTTGACACAGGTGCATGACATTCATTCATATCTGCTTCATTTGCACATTCATTGGGTCTGGAGGTCACGTAGCGGGATGGTTTCCTTTGTGTTAACACACCAGTTGGGGGTCCAGCGTTTTTGGACCGTGTTTGCCAAGATTGTGCTATCGAGATGCCTGGGCAGACTTTAGAGTTCGATTTTATTATTTTTGACATAACGGGCTTTGACGTCATTCTTGGGATGGATTGGTTATCCTTCTTTCGTGCTATGATCGATTGCTTCCGCGGGAGGGTGACTGTTTGCACTCTCAAAAGAGATTATTTTCACTTCGTGAGAGATCAGAGTGATTCCCACCCAACAATGATTTTTAGTATCGGTGAATGGAGTCACCACAGGTCATACTTGGCTAGCTTGTTAGCCGACGAGGATAACAGTTCGGGCCGTATTTTTCTTGCAGCTATAGGTGAGTTTCTGGATGTCTTTTCGGAGGAGTTAACGGAGCTGCCTCCTCTTCGGGAGGTTGTCTTTGCCATGATGTCATTCCCGGTACTACACCCATCTCTATGGCACCGTATCGCATAGCACCGACAGAGCTAGATGAACTGAAAGCTCAGTTGGATGATTTAAAAGCTAATGCCTTTATTCGTCCTAGTGCTTCACCCTGGGGAGCACCGGTTCTTTTTGCGAAGAAGAAGGATGGGTCTTTGAGACTTTGCATCGATTATCGCAAGTTGAACCACGCTACGATCAAGAACAGGTATCCTTTGCCTAGGATTGATGACTTGTTTGATCAGTTGAAGGGAGCCACTTGTTTTTTGAAGATTGATTTAAGATCAGGTTACTATCAGTTGAGGGTTAAGGATGAGGATATATCCAAGACTGCTTTCCGTACACGATATGGCCATTATGAGTTTCTGGTGAAGCGATTTGTGACGGCCCTGGTTTTTCAAGCCAATACGTCCTGTGATGAACCGAAGATTGACCCAATAACGGATCTAAATGCGAAAGCAAAAATAGAAAACAAGCCTATGGAGATGCAATGCATCTTTAAGAAACTATAGTGACCTTCCATGAGGCCACGGATCTCAACGAGAACAATGCAAAAATGAATGATCAGAAAAAGACCGAACAGGCTCCCAAGGGCAAAATAGTCTTTTCACATGGAAGCAATGTCCATGGGCATGTACATCATTCCTAAGACACAACCGTGACTTCCTATGAAGTCACGGGACTCAAAAGAATGTAGTGGAAACAAATTAAAAGAAAACCGGACAAATTTAGTCCCGAGGGCAAAATGGTTATTTCTGAAAATATAAAATCGGGCGCTACCGAGCTCACCATTGGAAAGAAAGCAAAAAATTAATCAAGTTAGACCCAAGAATCACTTGATTCGGAGTCCGGATGAAGAAGATATGAAACTCCAAAGTTTCATAAAATCAAACTTTTGGGTTTGAAATCAGTGTGGCAAGGGTACTTTACAAGGGTTAAAATGGTCTATTCAGATGAAATTAGATGTAACTGAGCATACCATTAGATAGACTAGGAAAAATTATTGAATCTAGACTTAAGAATCACTTGATTCGAAGTCCGGACGAAGAAGATATGAAATGTCAAAGTTTCAAAAAACCAACTTTTGGGTTTCAAATCAGTGCGGCAAGGGTACTTAACAAGTGGTAAATTAGTCCTTTCAGATAGAATTGGATGCAACTGTGCATACCGTTGGATAGACAAGCAAAAGTTAATAAACTTAGACTCAAAAATCACTTGATTTGGAATCAGGATGAAGGAGATATGAAGCCTCAAAGTTTTATAAAAACCAACTTTTCCGAGTAAGAAATCAGGGCAGGAATAGTGTTTTGACAGAAAGCTTCTTTTCCCAGAACTGAGGCTAAAAACGGACCCTTAAATGAATTTTTTTAGAAAAACACGAAGAATAAACCCCACTTAAAATCATATTTTTTTACCTGGCTGTGTAGAAGGAAATAAAAAAAAAAAAAACATGCTGTATAATCCCTAAAATGCCCCTAGATCAGCAAAGGTCAAGAGGACCCAAAAAGCTGCTACATAAAAATTTTTTGGGATCAGTTCACAACTGAGAGCAAAAACGGGTTATCAAAAGAATTTTTTTGGAAAAACACGAAAAAGAAACCCCACCCAAAATCGAGTTTTCTATCTGGCTGGGCAAGATAAAGTGAAAAAAATACAATGTGAAATGCACAAAATGCCCCTAAATCATTAAAGGGTCAAAAACTCAAAAAATGCAACTTTGCACCAAGTATACATTTGGCCCTAAATGCATTTCTAGGTTGAAACGAATGTGCCCGCAAGTGTAATAAATGATTCTAAGCGCGCGGGAATGGTTCGCAGCTCCCGAGAAGCCCTAACTCAAAATCCGACCCCCCCCAACGGCCAAAAATGAGAAAATGGACTTGAAATGGAAAATTTAAAATCCAAAAATATAAAATGGAGTCAAATTACCGTTTAACCGTTGGCCACACTTCAAACATGATTAATAAGACCCTATGGAAGAAAAAAAATAAAATTCCCACACCCGATGCAACCATGGTGAGACAATGACTTAGCATTTTTCAATATTTTCATAATATTTCATGAAGTTAAAAGTTACATAGGATACAAATTAGATGTCATTGGCCTATAGCCTCATCTCATACATGTCAAATACATTGTAAAGAGTGTACTTATGTACACATTACATAAATAGAATCAAATTTAAACATTTTGACATATAAAGCTATAAATGGCATTACAAGCCAACATTTACAAGAAAGGAGAACTTCAAGTCTACAAATCATCCAAGCATGATGTGAATCCCGAATCTTGATCCCGGTACCTGAAAAATGTCCCCACTACGTGGTGAGTAACATAAAGCAACTTGTAGGAGATGAGCATGCAAAGAGCTAACGTTTTACAAACCTAAAGTTACTATAATTTAACTCAAATGGTCATGCCACCTAGCGTTTATGTCAAAGGTGAGACTTAGGAAGCATCCTAAGCAACCTAGAGTATTCATAGCATAAACCATATCATTCATGCAAGTTAAACAACATAGAAACATGCGATACACACAACAAGATATTCAATATACAAGTATACGTACACAAGTATACAATCAATATTGAAATGCTCGTAAGACAAGTATACAAAACACAAGTATACTAGGTTATCTAGAAAGTAAATCATCAATATATAAGTGTACATACCAAGTGCGCTAAGCAATATTGAAATAGAATACAATATATATATTCAAGTATATATTTCTAAGTATACAAGTATAAAAATCTAAGTATACAAAGCATTTTTGATATACAAGGCAAACAAGTATACAAATACAAGTATACTAAGCAAGAAATGAAATACCATGCGTCCAAGCACAAGTTAAAAGTAATCCATAATTATAAATAGGAATTGAATGCGAAATCAACCAATGGCGGAAAGACAAAAGGACATATGGTCTCAATAACTAAACAAGTGATCTCGGAACACTAGCCCGCAAGGAACTACCTAGTGCGCACTATATGTTGTAGAGGGAACTCTCATCTCCCGTACTAGAGACATACTCTAGCCTTAACATATTACAATGTCCATACAAGCTTTCCAAAAAATCATCAAGTTATGCAACAAGTATATCACATATACACAATGCATATTGTTAATTACCATGCACAACCAAGTTATGGAATACACACAAGATATGCTCCAGGCCTTCAAGCTACAATAACATATTAAATGTCATATAAGTATAATGTGTATACAACAAGTTAAATCATAACTTCTACTCATGGAATACCATCTTGTAATCATACACCAAGTTGCAAATTATAAGTTAAGTAAGAATATAACATCAATACTTAATTACCTCAATGAAAGCATACAAATGGAACTTAATTAAATTAAATAATTAAATTCTCAAGATTACAAAGCAACTCCAAAAATTCTAAATATATTATATGTCAAAGGTCATAGCAAAGCCTAATTTAATTTCAAGTTACAAGCCAATTCTACCTTAGTTACAATAAGGTAATTTGAGATCAATGCCAAGAAAATAATTAAATAAATTTTTCAAAACTCATTCAAATATTCTCTATTTAATATATATGAAAGAAAATGTCAAGACATTGTTTAAAACCAAGTTACAAGTTAATTCTACACTAGATACAACTAGGTGAATTAAATTTCATACAAGAAAATAATTAAATAAAGTTTTCTAAACTCATTCAAATATTCTCAATTTAATATATGTTAAAGAACATACCATACTCATTACATATATCAAGTCAAATGTCAATTTAAATGAATGTAACACTTGAATAGAAATTAATTAAACTAACTAATTAATTTCTCTAGAATTTAAATCAATTTTAAATGATTCCAAATAATTATATGCCAATGGTACTATCATGGTAATCACATATATCAACTCAAAAACTTAATTAAGTAAGTGGAACAATTAAATAGAAATTAATTAATTCTAAATAATTAAATCTCTA